TAATTATATATGTATTTAGTTTCAAGAATCTTAATAAAGTACTAGCATAACTGCTTAAGCCAAAAAAAAAAAAAAAATTTTACAAATTAAAAGAATTAAAAGAATATATATTAAAATAATATATTTTTAATACTAAACATGTTTATTTAAAGCTTAAAATTATAATTATTTAGTAAATATTTACAAAATTTTAGTAATTAATTAAAATTTTTTAAATTAATTAATTAATATTATTTTATATAAAAGATATTTCTATAATAAATAAATATTATATAATATTTGTTACAGTTTTAAATTAATTTATTTAATTTAATAAAAATAATTTTTTAAATTTTATTTATATTTATAAAATAAATATTAAATAATAAAAATTTATATAATAAAAATAAATAAATAAATAAATATTATATTTATAATTATATAAATTACTAATTTAAAACATTAACTAATTTATCTGTAAATTCTTGTTCTACTTTATTTTTTTCACTTAATACTAAATTTAAATTTTTAATTTCATTATTATTATTATTATTGTTATTATTATTGTTATTATTATTATTGTTATTTTCATTTTCATTATCTTCATTATCTATATCTATATCATCATTAGTTAATATATTAGCTCCTTTTTCTAATCTATTTATAAAAGATTTTATATTATTTTTAATCCTAGTTTCATAATAATCATAACAATATTTACATTTTCCTTCCATAGCATTATCTCTTAATCTGTAGATTATTTTCAGGCAAATTTGTCTAGAAAATTTATATTAATATGCCCTATCTTAAAATTAATTATTTTATTGTTTTTTTAAAAAAAATAGTATTCATAGTATTTAAAAATCGTCTTGTACTGTATTCCAGGCAAATTTGCCTGGAAAATTTGAGCATTACATAGCAGTAAATATTTGGGTTTTATTTACACACATATTACTGTAACAGTAATATCGGAAGAATTTAACGTTACATAGCACTTATGTAATCAAAAATCGAAAAATTTTAAATCTAAAAAAAACAGTACCCTGATTTTCTAAGTTTTAAATAATTTAAACGAAGTCAATAATGTCAAGTTGTACAAATGAATAAATTATCTGGATTTTGATATTAGGTATCAATTTGAATTGGTTAATCCAGCTCTTATTTGATTTTGTATCTGTTTGAATATTAACATTATCCATATTATCCAACCTTAAACCTTTACTTTAAATTGTGTATTCAAATAGACTTAGAATTTATTTATTTATTTATTTTTATTTTTATTTTTTTTTTACATCATATTTTATTAAAACTTATTCGAATAACTCCAATTATTTGAATGGATTTGAAATCCTTGTTCTTATTACAGGTATTAATAGTGAGAAATAGGAAATTATTTAATGCTTAGAGTAAAAATTACTAATCACAACATTACCGTCTAATAATCATATTGCACAACTCAAAATATTTGACTGATTGCATAAAATTAATTTTTACTTTTTGAATAGAAATCTTTAAAGCAATTTGGCCTTGGTTTAGAGCAACATAGTGGTACTTTACACTTAATATAATAAAGATTGCTTTGTGGTGAATTGTCGGAATTAATGGCTATTTTGGCATATTGTGCCAAATAATGTCAATAAACACATGCCTCTCTTTTTTGTTTCCATTCAACAAGATGGTCGCCCTCTAATAAGTGAGTTAAAGGTAATTCAAAATTTTTATTTACAACTATTCATTTTCTTTTTGATGAAGATTGAAGTTCTTGAGGTTCTTTTTTTTTTTTTCATCATCTAAAGTTTCTCTAATCAAATCCCATACTAAGTTAATTCTAAAATCCCTACTTGATATATCTGAATCAGTAACTTTATAATAAAGAATTACACAATTTACAAGTATAGTGTTAAGAATCCAAAAGAATAAAGGAAGCCAAGTGTGTCTAACTGTCAATTGACAGCTGTAATATCCATAAAGTTGATCAGCAATATCAACCCCACCCATGTAATAGTTGTAATCATTAATTATCCACGGGATCTCCAATTCTTTTTGATGTGCATCTCCAAAAACTCGATGTACTGTATTTGCATTGGAACTTGTTTCACAGAGTCACCACCTGTTATAAGTAACCTTCCAGTTTTCACCAACAATTTCATATATTGTAGTTAGCATAGTCACAGGACCATTGTTCATTCAGAAAACAGCTAAAACATCATTAACTACTTTTTCAAAAAGTGTGTCCCAATCTAATGCCATTTCTTTACCAATTTTTAGCTCTTTAGGAAAACTTGCTGAATTCGTACGAACAGTGCCACAAGCTCCAATACTCTTTTTACATAAATATTTAAAAAGTGGAATACTGGTAAAATAATTATCCATATATATGTGATACATTTTATCATTAGGAAGCATATATGCTAAATGCGTGACCATGCTTCCAATATTATTTATACTAGGAATAGATTCTATCAAGTTATTTTTTAAACTCACGATGTAAATACAAATGCCCATATATAACCATAATCGCAGAAAGAAATAATCTTGTACCCCTCTGGGGTCGGCTTATTTTTCATTCTTACTGTATGAATGCTTCGCCTGAAAAAACGTACGATCATTTCATTAATAGATACCTGTGAACTAGGAACATAAAATCTTTTAACTGTACTTTGGATATGTAATGCGAATGGTTCTACTTTAGAATACCAATTTGAATGAAGTTGGCCCGGTGCTGAAATATGAAAAAATCGTTTAATTTGTTAGAACCTATATAGAAACATAAACCTTTTAGTTTCATGATTTGCTCTTTTATCGTTTTGATTCTATAAATCTTCTATTGCATTAATATGATGAACTCTTATGTAGATAATCAGCCCAAGCCAAACTTTCAATTCACTTAAGGTTAATAGAGTCCAAACCTGACCACCTTCTCTGCCCTTTACTTGCTCATATGTATTACTATTCTCGACTATTAAACGCAATTGCTTATCAGTAAAAAATAATTGGAAAAGCGAAAGTGGAGATATAATACCTAGTTGAAACTCATGAGGAAGTTTCGCATAGCCTCTATGAAGTGGATAATGATTACAAATAGGATTAAAAGTAGGTAATTCTAACGATGGTAATTCTGAATTTAAATGGCTACTTTGTTTATTTTTTTTTCTCCCTCTACCCCTCCTGCTACACCTCCCTCTCCCTTTACCCCTACTCCTACCCCTACCCCTACCCCTACCTTTCTCTCTCCCTCTACTACTTCCAATGCCCACTTCACTATTTGTTTCTTCATCTGATTCTTCTATAGATTCATGTGCCTCTTCGTTGATTTCATTACTACTAGCTTTTACTAGTTCGTGGTCGATCATCAATTCATCATGATGGTTATGTTCGAAAGTAAATGAATATTGCAATTCAGAATCTTCATTAAAGGCTGTATTATCAAAGGTTGTATCATCAATAGACATAATGACTTTTATTTTATTTGTTTATTTATTATTTTATTTAAGTTTTGAATAGTAAAAAGAAGTGCCGAATTAAACATATTTAAAAAAGGATTGATGTTGTGGTAAACTTTTTTTTTAATAAAAATGAATGTGGTTGTGAATTTTATTTTAAAAAATGGTAAGCAAAATTGAGTTGGTCAGGTTTGTTCATTTGTACAGTAAGATATAAAGTAATAAATGCAGACTACTGCACTCTGTCTCAATAGAGACTTGTCATAAAAATGAAGTGAAAAAATAATAGCATACAATAAAACGATAGTTCGTCAACCATCTAAGGGCACATATGGTAATCTCACAACTACTTTTTCAGATTATTTATATGTATTCTATGTACAAAACGATTACTCAGTCATTTGAATGCAAAAAAAAAAAGCTTTAAATGCGTGCTCAAACATTAAATATTCACATGTAATAAAGAACAAAAAGACAGTAAAGGTCTGAATACAAACATATATATGTACGAACATACATTCATACGTAAATATGTGCAATTTTTTGATAATGAGAACAATAGTAGAGCACTGCAGTAGTGCTAATTTAGGTTCTTATTCGTGTATATTTTGAAAAGGGCAACAGATTAAAAATATGTAGGCGTATATACATAATTTAAGTATGTCGATCACTGGAAATTGTTAATATTGTAAATCACTTTGTACTGTATTCCAGGCAAATTTTCCTGGAAAAATTATTGTCAAATGATAGTGCAGATTCATCCGAATATAGAAAATCATGCATTAGGAGGGCTTTTAATTAGTACAGTTTATTGTAACAATAAAATTTATTATATATTTTAAATTTTCCAGGCAAATTTGCCTGGAATACAGATTAAGGAATAACATATTATATGATATTCATGTCCACAAATAAAAACTTTTGCTTTATAATAATTTTTTAAAGAAGTATCACATAAATCACAATTAATTAAAAAAGGAATTTTTTTAGTAAAATATCCACAAGGAAGTTGTTTTGTTGATACAGTAACTTCAAGTGCTGGTAAATAATAATAAAAAGATTTAAAATTTGTATTTTAATATTCTAATCCTTTATATAAATATATTTTTTTAAAATAATTTAATAAAAAAATAGATATTTTTTTTGAATTAAATATTCTAAACTTGATTGTGTATAAGAATATTTTTTAAAATTTTGAAAAGTTTGCTTAAATTGATCATAACAATGTAAATCTAATATAATATATATAATATAATATTTAGTTTTATTAAAAAATTATAATTATTAAAATATTAAAATATTTATTTCTTACCAATAACAAATGCTTCTCTAATTATTTCATCTGTAGTAGAATATTTTGTTGTATAAGCTCTAATTCTACTATGCATATTTTCTATATAATAATCATTAAAATAAACTAAAAAATTTTTAATTGTTTCTTTAAAAGGATAATTGTTATCTGTCCAATAAAAAATATCTGAAAGAAAAGCTAAAGGAGCCTTATTATAATTTTTTCTAAACCATTTTAATGTAAATGTCCAAATTCTAAAAATTGTTTCTATATATTCTATATATGATCCAGATCTAAATAAAATTGCATAAATATCTAAAGTAGCAGGAATTATATTATTTAACAAATCAATAGCCATTCTATATTCAGTATCTTTACAATATAAACCAAATTTTTATAAAATAATTTTTTTAATTTTTTGTCATGCTTTATGTGCTAATTCTAATAAAAGATTAATTCGCCAAGATTTAGGTTTTTTAGCTAATTTTTTTTTATTACCAAATACAAAATGAAATAATTGTTAAAAAAATTCATAATTAATTATTAATGCTGTTTTTTTACTATTTAATGCAACATGAAGTGGACCCATAATTGGATGAAAATTTTTATAAATTTGTAAAATATTTGATGTTAATTGTTGAATTTTTAAATATATAATAATTTTCTAATAAATAATTGTCCTGGCCAATCTGTAATTATTGAAATTATATTTTGATTTAAATAATTATTAAGTGAAGGAATATTAATAATTATTTTAAGAGCATTAGCATAATTATTAAATGAATGTAATTCTAATTCTTTAAAATCTATAAGCTGCAAATCTTGCATTGATCTTTCTTCTTTGTATTCTATAATAGCATCTTTATATAAATAAATTGTTAAATTATTTATACTTTCTAATTTATCTAATTCAAAAGATGAATATGATATCCATTGAGATTTTGAATAATTATAACTTATATCAAAAAGAGTACTATATGTTTGTTTTAAATATTTGCAAAGATTATTAGCATCAATATTAATTGGATTAAATAAAGAAATATTATTATAATTAGCTAAAATAGGTGTTGATAAATTAATTTTTTTAGCTGTACATGTTGCAAAATGTTTAGTTGAAGATAAAAAAGTATTATTTGGTCTACATATTTCATGAATTGAATGATAATCATCAAGATTAAATGTATATAAATAATTAATCTATATAATTTAAAATAAATTATATATTATAAAAATACATATTATAAAATTATTGTAATTAAATAAAAATAACTTACATTTTTATCAAAATATTTACTAATTTTTTCAAAATGATCTTTAACAATTTGTTGTTTATATCTTAATACAGTTTTAGATGAAACTGTAAGTCCTGTATTTAATAAAATATCTATACCTTTATATAAGGTTCCTGCAGAAGCTAAATAAAGTCCAATAACTAATTTATAACTATTTGCAAATTTATTTCTTAAATCAGCAAAAAGGTAACAAAATGAAACAATAGATTTTTTGTTTTTTCTTGATTATAAAAACTTCTTTTTTTTGGTATAAGACCTTCAACTAATTCATCAAAAAATCCAATTAATTTAGATTCATTTTGTTCTAATATTTGTTTAAATTTAATAGGATCATATTCTGGATTATTTTTAAATTTTTGTTGTTAATTATAAATTACTAATATAAGAAGTTGTAATTTAGTTGCAAAATTAATTTCTATAAAATTTAGATATAATAAATTTTTGTTAATTATAAATAATTTAAAATATATATTATATTATTTTTTAAAGTACTATTGGATTCATTATTTTTATTAATTATTTCAAAATTTTCATTTATAATTTCTGATTTTTCAATAATTTCTTCAAATATTTCATCTTTTTGATTTTCTTGCAAATATTCAATATTTGAAACGAAATTTAAAAAATCTTGTTTAGAAATACATATTTTATTATCTAAAATTTCTAAATGAATATTATCCTATTTTAATTTGAAAGATTTTTCTGTTTTTTGTAAATTTTGAAAAGTTTCATTAATTTTAAAATAATTAGGATTATTTTTATTTGGTTCT